CAGTGCACCGATGCGAGCGCCCGCAATCTGCATGCAATGCATCGCTCAGCGGCCAAATCTAACGTGACGTAGAGTCTAAAACAATAGATTTGATGATGTCACGTTAGATTTCATGCGGAAAAGGACTCGGGTCCGATGCATTCACTGATGCAAAATGGATGCCAATCGAGTCTAACGTGACGTAGGTGATGCATTTTGTGCATTTTACTTCAACTGTGACGTCAAGGATGCGGTAAAAAATAACATATTTTGTCGCGAAAATATTGACGCTTAAGTGTCGAACAATAACAGAAAGTACACATTTGCGATCGCAACGTCGTATGTTGGACTTATTTTGACAATTTCGACTGTTATTGAGACTAATTAATACGGCATATTGTGTTTTTATATGTGTTTCTTTATGGTCGTTTACGTAAACTATAATCTATACTTAAACCTATAACTCAAAAATTAGCTTCTGCCTATAAAGCAAATATATTTTGCCGTATTTTCGAGCAAACTACTGTTTGTTACTTTTCCGTTTCCCCTGCAGTTTCATGACGACAAAGTTTCAAAATGTTTGACTGTTACATTTTACATTAAATTTTAAGCCTATTGAAAGCCACATAACATAAAACTATCGATACATCCAAAATATGACAATCAATGATTCTTTAGTTAAAAATTACCTCGTATTACAATCACGTTACCATAGCGACTACTATTATTTTAAACGTGGAATGGAGTACTTCATTATTTGATTTTGATTTCATGTGGAATTTCTGTATTTCATCTGTTAAAAAAAGGCAAGGGGTTGCTGCATGCATGTATTTCTAGTTATGAATATGAGCAATGACATAAATCAGTCTGTTGCATTGCAAGCATTGGGTTGGAAGCCAAGCTGAAGTAAGACAGAAAGGAAGAAAAGTAAAGCAAAAATCATGTGCAAATTATTGAACAAAATGGGACCGAAATCACTCACTAATCTCTTCACATATAAAAGTGAGGTGACAAACTACAAACTTACATAATATGAAAAACAGTTTCATGTATGACGGAGCACACCTTTGGAATTCTATTCCTATAGAAATTAGAGAGAGCAAATCCTTTTGTTCCTTTCGAAAGAAAATTGCTACTCACATTAACTAAAATTATTTCTCAGATTGATAGCTAATTGAAAATATATTAGTCTATATACCTGTAAATGGATTATTACTTATAGTTAATTTTGCTAGTTCATATAATACTATATATCTTATATAATTTTGTAAATAGTTTTTAAATGGAAATCAGCTTCGGTTGACGGGGTTAGCATGATTAAAGAAAGTTTTACTAGTCTAGTCTAGTCTAGTTGACATATAAACAGTTCATATATAATAAATTTTGTAAAATTGTAAATTATAGCTACAACTTTGCTACTCTATAATCCTCACTCGAATAAGATCAAAATAATAAGGCTAGTCAAGTTTCGATCTGATAAAACTTTCAATTTATTTTAAAACTCACATGATTATGTTGTTCTCACACTATAAGGCCAGTTAGGCGAAACCCCTATCTGCCAGAACCAAATCACCTGATATAAAGTTGTCCAGAAAGCCACAGTTCTCAGTCAGAACTTATCTGAAGTCCTCCCTCCCCAAGCTTTGATTTGGCTGTTCAGTCCTCCCTCCCCAAGCTTTGATTTGGCTGTTCTTGCATTCCCAGGTTAATATTCCTGAAAAAGATGCGATAATTATAAACAATAATTATACATATTCTACGATAATTATAAACCCAATGCCCGACCCCATCACTCCGTCTCCCTGTCAGGCGCACAAATCAGCATGAATTTGTTGTCCTGGTGCACAAACCCTAAGAATTCAGGGAACCCTCAGAAAACCTCATCCCAATAGCATGCTGTTTAGAATTATTTCCTATATTAGACAACCCTTCGGATAAATTTTCATCCAAAATTTTAATAATACACCCTTTCAATAATTACTGGGAGACTTGCACTCATAAATCGAGATCCAGGGCTCCAAGAGCAAAAAGTATGTGTGACGTAAATATCGAAAGGGTGTATTTACAGGTTACCCTTAAGAAGTTGGTTAAAATTCAGGCAATCCCTCAGAAAACCTCATCCCCAATAGCATGCTGTTCAGAATTATTTCCTATTTTAAACAACCCTTCGGATAAATTTTTATCAAAATATTTGATAATACATCCTTTCAATAATTACATCATTTGACCTGGGAGCCTTGCACTCATGAATCATGATCTGGGGCTCCAAGAGCAAAAAGTATGTGTGACGTAATAACCAAAAGGGTGTATTTACAGGTTACCCTGAAGAATTTTGTTAAAATTGAGGCAATCCCTCGGAAAACCTCATCTTCAATACCATGCTGCTCAGAATTATTTCCTATTTAGACAACCCTTCGGATGAATTTTATCCAAAATTTTAATAATACACCCTTTCAGTAATTACGTCATTTGGCCTGAGGCTCCAAGAGCAAAAAGTATGTGTTACGTAATCATCGAAAGGGTGTATTTACAGGTTACCCTGACAAATTTCGTTAAATTCAGGCGACCCCTCAGAAAACCTCATCCATAGGGGTGTGTGTATATAAAATGAATGGTCCATTAGGTGAAACAATCAAATATTGAATTGTCAGACAAATTTTCTGTCTTTACTTGTCAAGGTGAAAATGTTGAGTATTAATATCAAAAATGCTTTTGAAAGATTATTCATGCAGTAAACAATAAACATAAATAAATACAATCAACGAAGGGATCTTTGACTCACTGTCCAAGTGGTTAAGTAAACATTAACCTAGCAGCTGAGCCGATCGATCATGTTGAAAAAATATGTATAAATACTATGATTTGACTATCCCTAGAGGCATCGATTTGTTAAAATTTTGTGCTAAATAAACTACCAAAACAATTAAAAGGCTCATCTTACCCTTTTATCCGATCTTTTTAACTTCTTATCTATGGCTATAGAGCTTAACCTTTGCTGCCGCATACGCTCCCGACAATGAAGCGCTTGTATTGTGTTGCTCGTTTCCACGGCATTTTTACAATTTCATTGCACAATCATCAAAAAACAAAAAACATACGATTGTAAATGAACACTTTATCTTTCAAATCACACAATAACGAAAAAAATCAGAGCATAAACAAAAAAGATATAACTAGCCGAAATTTGTGTATTTTAGCGACTTCCTTTGAAACTTCGTAACTAGCGCGAATGCCTGGAAGAAGACCCAGCAAACTAGAATAATAATAAAGTAACCATGGCAATAATTGGGATCAAAATAATCCACAGAATCTCCTCTTTCACACTCGTATATACCTATATATTCTTACACATCCTACAAAGTACCAGAAGCAAGAGAAAAAGCGCGATTTTCAAAATTAGAATTACCAGTCTTACATTTTTTCCGCTCGGCAATTAGAAAAATAGTGGAACTTTTAATTGGTGCTTTTGGATGCATTTTTGACAGGCGTGTTAGTTCAAGCCTGTGTGGTGGCATAAGATTTTAGTTCAAGCCTGTGTAGCATAGAGCCTATGTGGCGTAAGATTTTAATTCGAGCCTGTGTGGCATAGAGGCTGTGTGGCGTAAGGTTTTAGTTCAAGCCTGTGTGGCATAGGATTCTAGTCCAAGTCTGTGGGGCATAAAGCGGCCTGTGTGGCATAAGATTTTAGTTCAAGCCTGTGTGGCATAAAGCTTGTGTGGTGTAAGTTCAAGCCTGTGGGGCATAAAGCCTGTGTGGCATACAGCCTGTGTGGCATACAGCATGTGTGGCGTAGGATTTTAGTTCAAGCCTGTGTGGCATAAAGCCTGTGTGACATCGGATTTTATTTCAAGTCTGTGCGGCATTGAGCCTGTGTGGCATAAGATTTTAGTTCAAGCCTGTGTGGCATAAGTTTTTGTTTAAGCCTATGTGGCATTAAGCCTGTGTGGCATAAGATTCTAGTTGTTCACACTTGGGTGGCATAGAGTTTGTGGGGCATAAAATGTTAGTTGAAGCCTGTGTGGCATAATGCGCCAGTGTGGCATAAGATTTTTGGTTGAATCCTGGGTGGCATAGTTGGTGTGGCATGACATTTTAGTTCCAGCCTATGTGGCATGAGATTTTAGTTCCAGCCTGTGTGGCATAGCACCTGTGTGGCATAAGTGTCTAACTCAAGCATGTGTGGCATGCGATTCTAGCTCAAGCCTGTGGGTGCATGAAGCCTGTGTGACATAAGATTCTAGTTCAAGCCGGTGTGGTATCTTAAAGCCAGTGTGGTATCTTAAAGCCTGTGTGGCATAAGCCCTGTGTGGCATGGGATTCTAGTTCACGCCGGTGTTGGCATATTACAGCCTGTGTGGCCTGAGTTGCTAGTTCAAGCCTGTGTAGCATAGAGCCTGTGTGGCCTAACAGTTTCGTTTCAGCCTGTGGGACGTAGGTTTTTCGTTCAACCCTGTGTGGTATGCAATTCTAACTCAAGCCTGGGGGGAGTACGATTCTAATTGCGGCATGTGTGGCATCACGCCTGTGTGACATCAAGCCTACGTGGCATCAAATTTTAGATCAAGCCTGTGTGGCATCAAATTTTAGATCAAGCCTGTGGGTCATAAGTCTCGTTTCAGCCTGTGGGGCATACGCATCTGGTTCAGGCCTGTGTGGCATACGATTCTAGTCACGCCTATATGGCATCAGCTTCTAGTTCAAGCCTGTGTGGCTTAACATTCTAGATCAAGCCTGGATGGCATGCAATTCTAGTTTCAAGCCGGTGTAGCATGCGCTTCTAGTTCGAGCTGGTGTGGTCTAAGATTCTAGTTCGAGCCTGTGGGACATAACTTTATTGTTCAAGCCTGTGTGGCATAAAATTCTAATTCACGTCTGTGTGGTATAAGGTTGTCGTTTACGTCTGTGGGGCGTCATATTCCGGTGAATGTAAAAGGCGGAATGGCCTGTGGCATGGTTGCGGAACAAAAAAACATGTCAAAGTCAGGTGCAGCTGCCTCATCATTGCCAACGTGCAAATACAGATGAGGTTCCTACATGATAAAACTGCAAACAAGCCTACAGATTTCAATATTACCCCTCTGTCAATGGAATCTACCAGAAGCGATGAATTTGTCCCAATATCTGCCACAGCTTCAAGTGCCACTACAACCTTCTGTCCTACCACAGCTTCACATGTTACCACACCACCTTCTACAAGTGCTACCACAGTGTCCGATTTGTCAAAGCATAAGGCTAATGATGCACACTTGATTCCTCCAGTAAATAGCAGGCATGCATCCAAGACAACAAGTCAAGATGCTATTGATCTAGCAATACTAAAACAACTGGAGAAAACAGATAAGAAAATCGATGAAACTACTTCCAAAGAAAACACATCAGATGAAACATATCTTTACTGCCAGAGTCTCATTCCAATAATACGGGCCCTTCCACACAAAAAGAAGAGAAAGGCAATGATTCAAATCAGCCAACTGTTATTTGAAATGGAATTTGATGAATTGCAATAATTTTTCATTGTAACTTTACACATCAACATTTTTGTAGTTATGGTTGTTTTAAAATGTTTTAAAAATATTGAAATTGAAAGCTTTAATACTTTTAACATTTAATATTGCTATTACCTAATCAGGCTAGCATATCAACATACAGTCCCTGCCATGTGTGTGAAGGAAGAAGCTGTGCGTTTTGCGTGAAAACCATTGTGCTTTTCATGTTACAAAAAAATCTTGTTTGCAAAGTAAGCACTGTAGTACTATACTGCAGGACTGCTACTTTTTTGAAAGGTATCCGGTCATTTCGCCCCCAAGTCGATTTGCCCCCAGTCGTTTTGCCCCCAAGTCAATTCGCCCCCAAGTCAATTCACCCCAAATCGTTTCACCCCCAAGTCACTACATGTCAATTTGTATTTGTAAGAATACCCCAAAACTTATTGAATATTCCATAAAGCTTTTTAGCAAAATATATGAATTACAAACTAACCCATATTTGCAAGTACTGTGGACAAATGGATCAAACGGCAACTGCGCAAAAATCGAAAACATATTCGCTAATGCATGCATGCTCCAAACTTGTCAAAGCCAAAGGTGACAGAACAACTGACAAAACGTGACATTTCGAACAAAAACAAAAGTGTGAAAAGGTTTCACAAAGTCAGTGATCAACATGGTGATTAGTTTTTACAATGGATGAACGGAACAATTCCCGGAATGGTGATTAATTTTTCACAATAGCCGAATGAAACAATACACAGCTTTTCAAGGTTTCAAAATGAAAGAATATTAAATTATAAATAGAAAAATGACTCAATCCCGGTATTACTCATCCTTCAAATATGTATGGAATGAAACAGACAATATAAAATGATGCGAAGTGTTAGGGAAGTATTTCACTTCAGCTGACGTGCGAGGCTGTGAGTACTGAGCACACCAAAATCTTCCCTGTAAAGTTTAAATTTGTCATAGCGATTTGCGTTCATGACTGTTGCAAAGTAACATGTCTGTGGATAAAGATTGTTGCAAACGTTGTAAGAAATTTGTCCGACCGCGGCAAAAAGTATTCAATGCGATGGGTGCGATAATTGGCAACACAGGACGTGCGACACCGGGATTTCAAGAGGCGAATATGAGGAAGCTGTACAATCTGGCAAAGGAGTAGACTGGCGGTGCAACGATTGCCTCAACATGAGTGCTGTATTTCTTCTTCCAAATGCTGAAAGCAAAAGCACTAGAATGGATGAAAGCATACCATGTGAGTATATTTTGTCCCGCTACAGCTATATTTTTATCACCAATGTCAACACATACAATTACAAATTATTTATTTGGCTTAATCGCTTATTATTATACAGATTCGGCTACAAAACGAGTTTAACTAAACAGTGTTTATCAGTAACCGATATCAATACTTTAGTCCTTAGATCTATATAACTATGTAGACTTTTATAGTTATTTTACAAATTTCAGTTTCGTATTTCAGAAATCATGCCAACAAGTTGATACTATCTCTATAAACAACTTGAAAAAATATGACTCATCTTGTTTTTGTAATGCTAAGAATTTCAAAAATGTTGCTTGTCTTTTGTTCTGTTATTGTATTGATAGAGGCCTAAAGCCTGTGATGATGTAATGCCGTCAGGCATTCTTTCTCAACTCCCAGGCATTCTTTCTCAACTTCTGGGCATTCTTTCCCAACTCCCTGGCATTCCCGGAAGGGTCTTGTCTAAAAGTACACACAAGTGACTACGAATGACCATGAGTGACTACGAATGACCAGAAGTGACTACGAATGACCATGAATGACCACGAGTGATTTCTGTGTTAATAATATACATAAAGATATTACTCGACTGTGATTGGTTGATTTCAGTGCAGTTAATCCCAAACAGCAGTGCAATTTTCTGTAATCACAGTGCAATTTTCTGTAATCACAGTGCAATTTTTTGTAATCACGGTGCAATTTTCTGTAATCACAGTGCAAAAATCTGTAACAAACTGATCTGATTGGTGGGAAAACATTGTGATGATTAAATCAACCAATCAGTTTAAAGCAGTTTAGTTTTAAATAAGTAACGGTCACAGATTGCTTCAAAACAAAACAAACATGGCGCCGCGCTACACAAAGTAAAAGTTGCCTTCGCGTGGAAAATATGGCTTTTATCTTTATTTTTAAATGGAAAAGCATTTACCTTAAACAAGACTAACAAAAAATACACAGTTGAGTGGAATTTTCAAGCTGTTAGCGTTGTATAATGTGATATAACAAGGTCAGGAAAACTTTGCCAGTGGAATGTTCGCTATAAACGCGTATAAAGTTAAAACTACAATTGTCTCGAACATTTTTATGTAAATTATTAATAAGTAACAGCATGGTTTCTCGTGAAATTTGGATAAACATGCAAATAACTTTGCTTTCTTTTTTATTTAAAAAATTCACTATAATAATAAAGGGAATCAATATTAAAGATACACTGAAATTATATGCTGTCTTGTTTAGTTGTTTCATATACGCAAAGGCCGTCGGGTTTTAAAGGCATTATAAAATCAATATTTAAAACAAACTTACTTCCGTTAACGTCGGCTCCCTTCTTTTAGCCGATTCTTTCGCAGTTTCTTTCTGAGAGAGCTTTTGAAATTTACAAAATCTTGCAAAAATGCGAGCAGGAATGAAATATATTTGCAAGAAATTTATGAATCATCAAATCAAGAAATGTTTGCTATTTCGCTGTCGTCATGCAGACATGCAGTCGTTATAATGCAAACTTTAAATTGGACCAATCAGCATCCGCTATTCATGACAGTCCGCCATATTTTTGAGATCAGTGAGGATGACCACACACCCAACACTCGAACACATGCTCGAACACCGTTGGTGACCCCATTGAACTATAATATAGTTCAATGGGTGACCCACGCCCGCGATGATTGATGAACTTTAGACTTCGCTAATGCTTTCGTTTCCCCGGGTGTAAATAGCCGGGGGGAATTAGTACCCTCGCACGGCGGGATAAACCACTGAGCTTTACTAAATTACTGGAGGAGGTGCTCCTATCTCTCGTCAGTCAAAAAAGTGTCGCCAATGGCGGATTTTCACGTTTGCTGACGCCATATGGTTCCTCCAGCTCATGGCAATTACCACTGACCAACCGCGATCCTAAGCATCCGACAAAGACCTTCGCCCCCCTGTTTTTGCACAAATATTTTATGTTTTCGAGACAAAATCATGCTGTTTTTCTCCGCTTGTGGATGCAAAATTCGCTGTAAAGACTTTAAAAGGAAGAATATTTCTTTTGAAAGGTAAGATTTGTGAAAATTTTAAGTTTTTACCTTTTATTCGACTAATTCTAGATTGGCAATATCAGGGGCCGATGCATAAATCGAGGTATATATATATATATATATATATATATCAAACACTTATATTTTATATTTACACCAATATTTCTGGAGCAGACATAAAAAAACGTTGTACATGGTTATTTATAGATTGTGTGCATACATTTTGTTTCTAGTTTCAGACTTTCAGGCACTGGCTTTTGTTTTTAGTGCCAGTTTATTAATTTAAACAGCAGCTCATGCAATCTGTAGTTTGCTGTTTTATAAAGAGCAGTTAGCACTAGATTATATACAGTATAAACAAGCTGTATTGTATCCTTCACAAATATTATAAACTGCTAATCTTGCTACTTGCTAGGTTTTGTATCAGCATTTACCAATTGGCTGTGTATAGTTAGGCTTTTTTGTGGGGTTGCGCACTACATTTCAGTGAGCATCGAGCTATCATTGACTTGTGCATACCCAAATTTGCATGATTTATACTTATATCATTCTTGCATTGGCATTACCTTGAGTGCTAGTATGGGTCAACCTCTATGCCTCATAAAAATCTCCAAACAAAGAACCTCCTTTACTCAGAAAATACCTCATACCGTCATGGGAGTCTGGATTTATGTTTAGACAAGAAAGCCATATTTATTTAGGTCCCTTAGAGGTTAACCCATTGAGTCGCATTGCGCCCTACTTTATTATTTTACTCTGTCTGACGCCAGATGATTTTACTCATCAAGCGGAGAGTGCTGGCGGTTAATGGGTTAACTAGCCCATGTGTCTAGTTAACCTACTGAGTCACACTGCGCCCTTCTTTATTATTTTACTCTGTGTAACGGCAGATTATTTTACTCTGTCTAACACCAGATAATTTTACTCATCAATTGGGGAAGAGTGCTGGCACTTAATGGTTAATTCAGATTTATACAAGAGTAGTGGTGCACCAGAGCTAACAGTTTCAAACCAGAGCTGTCGAGCAGAACAGGCCAGAACCTACAGTATGCACCCATTGTAATTAATTTTGAAATGTACACGAAACAGTTTCACACCATAGAATAAAACAATCACAAACAAAGTAACTTTATTTCTCATTTCTATTACAGGGATCAAAGTGATATACAAGAACTGAAGCAAAAATCTTATTTGGGTGTAACAATATGTAGTAATACAGTATTTGTAGTAGTAATACAGTATTTGTAGTAGTAATACAGTATTTGTAGTAGTAATCTGTTATCGCTACCAAAAGAAAATTGAAAATAGATCAACATGCCAAACAGCCAAAGTGATCTCACAGCTCATGGGACTACAAAGTGATCATTATACTAGAATAACTTGATTATACAGTTAGTTAAAAATGATTGGGTCATTCAAGAAAATATCCACACCTCTAATGGAAGAGATGGGAGGTTCAGCTTCCTCCCACCTTTGGACATCCTAATACTTTTACTATTATCAGCAGTTGGGTTCTGCCCCATCCCACTTCAGACAGCACAATTTCTTTCTGTGGAGTTAGTGTTTATCTTTTCTGGAATGACTCATGTCTCATTGGTGATTGGTAGTTAATAATTATTCATTGAAGAATTTAAATTAAATTAAAATAATACAATTTCAACTG